CTGATGTAATATGTAAGCCAGTCTTCGGACAGCCCACCTGTTTGAACTAATAAAGTGCCAGGGGCCTAAGTGGTTACTTTAATATTAAAAAAAAATAATAATAATTAGAGTATATAGTTTTTAAGTACATTAATATGCGCATTATTACTAACCTGTGGATAAATAAATATTCATGAATTTGAATATTATACAGCGCTGTATACGTAAATCTTAAAAAGCATTCCCTTTAAAAACTATCCCAATTAGTGATGCGGTAGAGTCATCCCAATGAAGTCCCGATAGATTTTTTGATATGAAAATTTATGGCATGGCATAACTTTTTATTAAACTACAAATAAGCCGTAACTCAAAAATTTATTAGAACTTTATTAGGACAATTCTACCGCATCACTAATTCCAATACTAATCAATTGATATAATTCGAACCCGTTATATGACCAACCCACTCTCTTTACTTATATAAATCCTTTTATATTAGTGATGCCAAAGGAAAATAAAACTTCAATCAATAAAATTTATATGATTGAGATTTCATTTCCCTTAATGTCATTTATATAGTATTGTCTCTTCACACAATACCCAGAACACTATATGCAGCACTGTATAGTGAATAATCTTTATACCTATTAAACAAACACAAATAAACAAATCTAAGGAGACATTATATAATAATAAGCATTTATGAACTTTATCAATCAACAAGTGATCTTTTATATTACTCATGAACAAAGCAGAAGTGTCTTACAACTGTATAACTTCAAGAACTTATTTTTTCTATAAGTATAAGAAAAAGTATAAGGTCATCAAAATTTAAAACATAGTTATATCAATCTTATAAATTAATTAAAAATTGTACTTGCTAAAAAACTTTACTTAAGAAAACTAGACTTCAAGTTTAAAGTTATACCTTAACAACTTGGCTCTAAAAAAATCCATTCTTTGGCAAAATGAATCGTAACTATCAGGATTAAGCTCATTAAGTTGTAAACTTGAAACGTGAAGTCTAGTTTTACTTGTAGCACTCATATAATACAGTAATAGTAAAAATATCACGCTAAATTTATTACTGTTATAATATGGTTCTAGATCACGTTAAAAGAAGAATCTAGAATAATTATATTGGTGATCACTACTAAATAAGGTGTGATCGACAATATCCAAATATGGTATATTTCTAGACTGTAATTGATCACATGAAATCTTTTTAAATAGAAACTCTATGATCATGTAACCCGTTAATTCACTGAATCTAAATTTACTAATAAAATAAATTTATATATTCTTATTTTTTAAGATAGATATGTGACACATTATTTACTGAATTAAAATTTATTAATAAAATCCAGTGAATATTCAATAGATTTATTAATAAATTTCAATTCAGTGAATAACGGATCACATCTCTATTTTGAGATTAGCTCGATTAACTGTGATAAAGTGTCCAAGATTAAGAATAAGGCAAAAAAATGGATGATTTTACTTTAAAGGAAGAAGCAGTGCGTGAAATTTGTAGCTGATGCTGAAATTTGGGTTACGATTTGAAAATATGTGACTTAAAGTCACGCAAACACATCCGATATCTTTTTAGAAGATTGCAAACGAAGGAGCTGTTCTAATTTTTTTCCTTTAAGTGTCTTGAAGACAATTTTTTTTTAATTTTCAAATTTTAATCCTAACTCCAAATTTCCAAATTTTGGTCTTATTTTAATATTTATGTATGTTGAACCAATCATGAATTATTTTGCAAAGATTTCATGTGACTTTTAAAAAGATTTTAAGATTAAATATACGAAGATTTAATCATTCTTAGATCATCAAACAAAAGATTTAACACAACTTTTCTTCTCTCATTTAATGTTTGGATAGGTTTTATAATTTGCTTACTACAAAATTCCATGTGACTGCAACAAAAACTCTTAGCTAATTATACTATAATTTGCCTTAATTTTATTTTAATTTAAATTTTTTTTACTTCAAATTATACAAAATTCTATTTTGTCTGAAATTGTACTTACATATTTCACTAATTTTTTTTAAATTATATTTTGACCGGGAAATGACATTTAAAATTTTGGTTGTATAACTTTCACAAATTAAATTTTAACTGACTAAACTTATATAACTATGTATGTTACACTAATCTGATGCTGTCAAAAAAATCCTAAAGCTAGCCCACTTTAGCCTTAATAACATTTTCAGGTAAGTTATTACAACCTTACATTTTAATTTTATTATGTAATGACAAATAAAACTAAATAGTAAATTATTTTTGTCAAGATATTTGAACAAATATTTTCAATATTTGACCCTGTAGAAATCTGGATAAATTCGACTTAATATTTTATTATGTAACGACAAATGAAACTAAATATTGCAATGTTTATATTAATACATTTGTAAGTTCAAGCCAGCCATTGAATTTCTATCGAGCTATTTTGTTATAGTTTTTTGAAAATGAAATCTAATTCTACCATTTGCATTTTTACAAAATGTGAACTTTTTGTTATTCTCTTGAGTGTAAAGTTTATTAGCTTCTATCACTTCATTGTTAAAAAGTATATTAATAAATTCTTCAAATTTTTCACAATAATTTAGTAAGTTATCTAAAGTTGGTAAATCATAACCTTTATCATCAAAATTAATTGATATTTCTGTGATGGTTCAAAGCCAACTTTCTCGAGAATATACTATGAACTAACATTTATAGGTCTGATTGTAGTACAGAATTTCTCTAATTCTTTACCATTAAATTGAAATATTTCTTGAATCTTTTGCTTATTCTGTTTACTAAACCAATTTTGCGTACTTTTGGGCCTCACTCATTAACCATCTTACTTAAGACTGAGTGCCTAATCCCTTTGCCCCAGTATTTCTGAGACAATGCATAAACTATTTCGGAGTTACCTTTTTTTTCAGATTTAGGCTTAGACAGTATAAATTCTATGATCATTATTTACCCTAAGTTTAATTTCCTCACTTCTTAACTGTCTTTCTTGACACATATATTTCATAATATTTATATCAGATAATAAATGTTTATAATTTGGTATGTCATACTTTTGAATTTCTCGAGCGGTCCATTTTTTATTATTTTTATCAATGCCACTAAGATACACAGATACCATATCATCATCTAAAAATTTAAAAATTGATCTTGTCATACTTTTGCAAGGAATTGATTCAATCTTCCAAAGGAATTTAAAGAATAAGTTTAATTTTTGTTGCGGATATTAAATATGCTTAATTTTTATGATTTATTTTATAAGTAATTGATAAAGTTTTTATTCAATATTTTACAATTAACAAATTTAATTTAACTAATTAAAAATTTACTGACGGCATTGTTATCTTATTGTGATAACATTACATATGATCTCACGGACCCATGGGTCCATGAAATTATATATTATTTAAGTAACAATTTTAACACTGCTTCTTCATTATATATTTTCTATAAAAAACTTTTATCACATTCTCGCGTTAAGTTGTTTCCTGTCAGAATTGCCTTCTTAATTTTTGTTCTCCAATATGAATTTATGGAGGTCTGCACTATAGAAATTAGCTCAAGCTAAACTATAATACAAATAGCACAAAATTATAAAAATTAATTGATTACACAATGAATTGCAAAAATGATTTTTTCATGATTAAAGTTAGAAATTTTTTCTCTGAATTCATTTTGGAGTTGGTTATTCGTTAATAATATTTATGGACAAAGAATTTTTTTGTATAATTATTTACCAAAGAAAATAGAATTCATTGAAGATTTGCCAAATATAAAATATGTTACGAAAATTAAAAATAAAATAAAAAACTCAGGAGACAGGAAGACATAAACAAATTATTCAGGGCTTTACTATGCTCAAAAAACTACTTCTGGTTACTGTTACAGAATCTGAAATAGATTTGTAATATTTATTCTTTTACGTATCAATTTTACATTCTAGAGTTAGAGTAGTTTTTTTGTAAACATTTCTATTAATTGCTATAAACAGTTCGAATTTAAAAACCAGTTTATAAATAAATTAATTTATATTACTTACATAAAACAAACTGATATATAAATTTAAATTAATTTTTATTACTTTGGAAAATAAAGTGGTTTTTTGTATTGGCATTAAATTGACACCAAATTTTTTTATATTTTCGAGAGTATCACGCAAACAAATTAAAATTTTATGCGATTTTTATCATATTAAAAAGCCTGAACGTTAACAACACCATTCTTTTCGATTAGTTTATCGACTGGCTCTTGTAGTAGCTCGAATTTTGGAACAGATTCATAATTTAAAAATTAAATAAATAAATAAATATTATATTATTTATATTATAGTTACTGTATAATATTATTAAATTATTAATTATTTATTATAATATTATTTTTAAACTTATTCATTATCTATTCAGTTTTATTTTATTTTGATCTTGTAAATTTTACATAGCACCTAAGAAATTATGATGATTCCTAACAATAGTTTGAATATGCATATATATTTATAACTTATCATTATTGTTATCTTCATTAACCAATTTATTTAAAATGTTCTCAGTAGTTCGAAGTTGTGATTTTAATTTTTTTAGCAACATCTATTAAATAAAAATAAGACATACAATATAAATTATAAACTATGATTGATCTTGATTGATTTAATATTCAT